CAGATGTTTTAAAAAAGATGGGGTATCAGTTTTCAATTCTGTTTTGAACACCACATTACAAAAGAACTAGTTTTAAAAATAAAAAAGGATTGAGGGAAAAGAAAAAAAAAAAAGATTATCTAAACTGTTGAATGACCCCCCGTTTGTTCCTGATAAACTTCAATCACATCTTCTTCGTCCATTCCCAGCTCTTTTGGAGTATGATTATCAGCAATTCTCTGACCCTCAAAGAGAAATCTGAGTGAATTCATTGGAACGCCCTGTCTTTGACAGTATGATTCTTTGAGTTTCTTGAGATGTGTTGTCATTTTCACTTTGAAGTGAATCTCACTGCTATCCTGTCCAATAACTTTGAGTTTAATATATTCACCTTCTTTCTTATCCCCCAAGTCCTCAGTTGAAGGTTTTGCCTCCTGGCAACTTTCTGCAAATATTCTGCAACTACTCTACATACACAAAGTTTTCCTATCATTTTTCTAAAAAATATCAGTCTTCTTCAGGTTAATGCCCAGGTGAGATGCTTTTTGTTGCTCTAGCAGTTTCGTTCTATTTTCTTTCTTGGTTATTCCGAATGGTCTCTTACAACTGGTCAGACATGATGATGGCGGCTTCACCCGGGGGTCTCCACACAGCAGCGGCCTCGGGTAGGCAGAACCTCGCTCCAGGGTTTACAAATCCGTCTCCTTTCCCACAGCACAACACCGCGGCTGCCCCCTTTTTTTTTTTTTTTTGATGGAGTTTCACTCTTGTTGCCCAGGCTGGAGTGCAATGGTGCAATCTCAGCTTATGGCAAACTCCACTTCCCGTGTTCAATCGATTCTTCTGCCTCAGCCTCCCAAGTAGCTGGGATTACAGGCATGCATCACCACACCCAGCTAATTTTTGTATTTTTAGTAGACGAGGTTTCTCCATGTTGGTCAGGCTAGTCTCGAACTCCTGGCCTCAGGCAATCCGCCCGCCTCAGCCTCCCAAAGTGCTGAGATTACAAGGGTGAGTCACCGTGCCCAGCTCTGGTTCTGGTTCTGATGGTGCACAGCCAATTGTGCCCACAT